AACACACCGTCTTCACACCTGTCGTGTCCTATTTTTACCCGACTACAGTACACAACGTACTGACGATCCCGTACCGAGTCCGCCGTACGCCCAAAAACGTGGCGACCCGCCTCCACCCGCCTCCCTCCTCTCCCCTCGGCCCATAAATTTGGGCCGAGTCTAATAAGGGACGGCTCGCCCGGAAACGTGCACATTTCGACTCGACGTCAACCTTCCCCGCTTATTTGCGGACGCTCATTTTTCAACCCGTGCTCTGGGTTATTGCCAATTTTGGGGTTGGTTTCAGGGTTTTAGGTTTATTGGATTGAATTAGGGGGGGGGGGGTGTTGCCGCTAGCGTTACCTTTACCCTCAAGCCAATGAATTTCAGGCCTTGACCAAAGATCCTAAAGAAACTCTGCTGGATTGCTAGTAAAAAGTGATTGGCTTGATAGGTTTTTATGCTTAGGTTTGGCTTAGGCTTAGCCTTAGGCTTAGGCTTAGGTTTAAGCCTGGGTTTGGCTTTCGGCTTGTTAGGCCCATGCTTCGCATAGCCGTGGGCAGGGCTTGGGCTTGGGCTTAGCATTAGGCTTTGACGTAGCAAATCTATGAAGCGGATCCTTTGAAAATTCCATAAAGTTCTTTGCTGGATATCAACCGACCCTATCATGCAAAAAAATGGGAAAAACCCAAATTCCCTAAGAAACGCTCCTAGTTCAATTCAAAATTCACAATATCAAATTAAAAATTTAGAATCCTGTACGTCTTTGAACGCGAATTATGATATCTTAAATAGCATTAATTTCCGTTTTTGACCTAATCCGAACAAAGCAAATATTTGTCCATCTTGCCACCTTTTTCTGACCCTTGCCGCAGAACGCTATAGGCGTCACACCCGCAGATCTAATTGAGATTAGTGGTGCCCACTCTTGCGCAAAGAGGGTGTTTTTGCTAGCGTCACTTTTTGTTCTCCGGAGGTATCTTATTTTGCAGATTTTTTAGAGGTTGGGTCAGGGTTTAATCCTCATTTCAGTAGGTTACGGTAATTCCCCTAATTTTTAGCATATTAAAATTCGGAAATTGGAAACCAGCGAAAATTCGTGACATTCCACTAAAAATTTTTCATTGCACTTGATCCAAATTACGATAGATACGGTCGCAATTTTAATTTTCTCGTGTTTTTAGCGATTTAAAACGCACTTAATTTCAAATTAAATCATGAAGACCCGTTGCACCCTTAATCCAGAGGTCTCCTCCTTGTTTAGAGGCCCATCCCGCCCAAACACTAGAATTTTTCATCTCTTAATTACCAAGGCCCAAAAGTACATGGGTGTGTATTCTGCTTAGAATCTCGAATTTGGGCCCTCTTGGGCTTTGGGTAGGGCCAGGGGCCCACCCAAAGCCACGCCCACATTTGGGTGAGCGTGGCCCCCGCCCACCCCCGACGGGTTGGGATTTATTCAAAAGGCGCGATGTTGCTGAATTATTGTGGATTTTGGACTCTTGTCTGGGGTAGGATTTTGCTTTGTATTTTTATTAAGGGTTTAACGATTTTCTAACTGCCGTAATACCGTAATACTCAGAAAAATTACAAAAACAATCTTTTTCTGCTCTCATCTAAAACGATTTGAACATTTTGCGCGTTTTTATGCCATTTTTATAGTTTTCGTTGTTTTAGAATGTCATTTGAAATTTTTTAATCTTCCCAGCAATTAACATAATTTTAAGTAACGAAAACAGCCTAGTCGGTTAACAGAATACTTCGTACGCGAAAGACGATTTTTGGGACCTGTAAGCAGGGACGTAGAAAAAAATTTCGGGGGCCTGGAAAAATTTTTCCAAAAACTCAAAACAGTGCCCAAAAAACAGCGCCGCAGGCAAAATTTTGAAAAAAAGGTTACATAGCTCTACAAAATAGCCGTAAAAACGTGCAAAAATAGCGCCGGGCAGCAAAATTTTGAGAAAATAAAAACATAAGGGTCCCCCTTATGAAATTTTCGGGCCCCGGCCGATTTCGGGGCCGGGCCCCGGGGCCTGTATTCTACGTCCCTGCCTGTAAGAATCCATGGATGTTTGCCTTGTCTGCCCCTTTAAATTCCCTAACTTTCCGTGTAGCTGATTCTATTGCTTTTTCTGTTTTTGTCTTCACATTACTTGATCACCAACCAAATTACGGAACAAATTCCCCGAGTTTGCAGGTAAAAACAGAGCCCCTCTCCTCGAAACACAGATGCGGTCACTGCTCCTCGTCACATTTCTCGTGGCTCTTATTTCCTGTGAGTTCATTCTTGTCCGAATTCATATTTCTAAGGGCATAAAAATGGATTTAGGGGTATAATCAGAACTACAATAAGCTACAAGTAATAAAAACCGTCCTCGAATGCGATTTCGATAAGGACATTGCCCTTGTATTCCCCGGGCGCTCTGCAATGACCACACCACCACGACAAACAGACAATATTAAGGGAATTACCCTTCTTTTTTGGGATGAGGTATGTGTCCTTCAGCCCCTGGAGGCCTGGGGAGGGGGTGGATTAAGAAATTCGTGCCCGAATGTCGTCCACGTTTTTGGGGTTTGGCAAGGATGGTGTTCATTCAATTTTTAACTTTCGCAAAGCGACGGAAATGCCCAAAAAATGGTTACTACAGGGTGTCCCAAAAAAATCGACCCCCTCTGGCGGACCGCAGAAAGCTCGGATCGGAATGATTTTCACACCATTCGAAAGCCCTTCAAACGGTGAGAAAACAAGCGCCTTTGGTTTTCCAAAAAATTTTAGCCTTCGCTCGATATTCAATGATTTCTGTAAAAAGCGTAAAACCAGCATCGTCCTGTTTGCTTTAGCAAGCAATTAACATGCCGATTTTGCATAAAATCTGCAGTTTTCATCGATTTTGGCCCTAAATTTAATGAATTAAAATTCCCATATTGAAAAACGAAAAGTGCTTGTTTTCTCGCCTTTTCGAGTGCTTTCGATAGATACGTAAATCGTCAAATCGGACATGACTGCGGCCCGCTAGAGGGGGTCGATTTTTTTGGGACACCTGTATACTACCGAAACGGCTTGAAAAAGTGAAATATTAGGGCATCAAAACACAAATTTCAAAACTGGTTAGCACAGAAGGATCTTGGAAAAGAGAAGCTTTTAGCGGACCTTTCGCATTTTTTTGTGTCTGTTTGTAGCAGCAGAGCTTGCTGGTTACTAGGAGTGTCCGGGAAATTTTTCGCTGCTTGCAAAAAATGTAACAAATATTTGAAAACTGACGTTTCCGCGGCCCTCGCGGCTCGCTAACAAAACTAGGCCCTCTAGGGCAAAATAGCGATATTTACTTCCGAAAAACCGCAGCGCGGCGTCTTCGAGGTTGCGCAACGAATGAAGTCTTGTAAAAACTTGTAAGGTCGCGGGAAATAATTTTAATGGGACATGGACACGATAAACCAGACTAGAAAATCGGAAAGAGATCTGCAACACGCACAGGATACGGGTGTCCAGAGGAGCGACGCGTCGTCCAACTTGGACAACGCGGCGCTCCACTTGACGTCGACCCCTTCACGCCTTTCAAACACTTTAAAGAAACTGTGAAAGTAACGAGGATAGGGTTTCAGTATTCCGAAAATTCCTATGAGACAGAGCGGGGGAGAGAGAGAGCGCGAGAAAAAGAGCGTGAGAGAGTGAGAGAGAGCGTGAGAAAACGCGAGCGTGAGCGAGAGCGTGGAAGGAAATTTGTAGTTTTTGGGATGAAGGTTTTGCATAACTCTATGCATTACGTTGCCAGCCATTTCAATTTATAAATTATATTTATAAAATAGTTTATGGTGTTAAAATACAATCCGACGCTCCGGATTCCAGCGGTTCACCCGATCGGGGCGACGTGTGGTGGGGTTATCCGGGTCTGGGGTCGAAAACGCGGGTTGACCTGGCCCGGCGGCCATCGGGTCCGTCAGGTCAGCGAGGTAGACTAGTCATTAATGTGTGTACCTTTTCAGTCTTGAGCGTCTCCTCGGCGGCCCCAGCCGAGAATGTCGACGCGTACGTGCGATCGTGGGCCGACTACGCGCCCGAGCCCTTCCAGCTGAGGAAGAAGTGGAGCCGACTCGAGCCGAGCATCCGCTTCTTCAAGGTATCATTTTGAGGGTTTCATACTTGGAACATGCAAATTAAATACGAGCTCGACTAAGTGGATACAGTAACCGTAAGGAGGTGTTGATTGGAATTTCGAAAATGCGCATAAAAATTTGATTTAAAGTATTATTCAAGTTTTTCTCATAATAAGTTGAGAACTTTAAAGGCAAGCTAGCAAAGTTTCCTTCGGAAATCACCCCAAACCTCACATTTCGCCATTTCATAATTGATTCGTACCTTTAACTCTTCTAGGCACCTGTTTTCCGGCAGTTCAGCGACACAGCTGGAATTTTCTGAACTCTTAGATTTCAATTTATTTTTTAGTATTTGCAGCTGAAATTTAGCATTTTTCCGGGAAAATAACGTTCTTGTTAGTGGGCGGAAACCGGCTTCACCTGGCTTCTGAGGGGGCAGAATTTTCTAGCGATTCCTGATTGTTAGGATCGAGAATTATGGTGTTAGCGTACATCCTCCAGAACGCATCGTTTTTCCCTGACGTTTTAGGCCGTAGAGCAGGTGTTTTTATGGGAAGTAATTTGGCTTCAACAATAGATTTTGCAATTGCGTAGGCAGCTGACCTAGGTAGACGTGAACTTAATAACACTGAGCTATCGAAAGCAAATTGTACGCGGGAATCCACTTTACGGGGTGGGGTGGGCGGGGCACTGACCAACGCGAAAATGGCATTATGTTGTGACATTTTTAGCATATAGATAGTAAAGTGTAGCACGAGAATTGGGTTTCCGTGCCAATTCAAGTAATAAGAATTTGTTTTGGATCGCAAAGGTCGTATAGTAAAAAAGGTTGTAAATCGGATTTTTTGGGACATGGTAGCTATGACACTGTGGCTACACTTTACTCCCCCCAGCCAGGATGTTCCCGCTATAACTTTTTTACATTATTGTAGACTAAAATTAAAGCTCTTGGAATATTTTCCACGCTCTATCGAATGGCGTTGCAAAAATCCCCGACAAAATAAGCAAAAAGAGTGGGGGGCAGGTAAAGTAAAGTCTTACCGACACTGTATCCCATTGAATTTTCTTATTTTGGAAAATCATAGATTTGGCGGGAAATTGGAAAAATGTATTAGGTATAGCTAATTAGCGGTTACTGTAGCCGTTTTGCCGGCTAATAATTTTTTAGCGAGGTCAAATTTGTTCCTGAAAATCTCTGGCTACCGTATAGATCTATGTATCATCTTTGCTTTTTTTTGATAAGTCTGACCTCCCGCGGAGAAATTCACCAAATCTCCCATGCGCCAATAATTTTTCAAAATTCGGGTGCAGACGCTGCGACGTGTGAAATATTAATTGGTTGTGCGAGCCCTCCCGATGAGTAAGCAAAATGAAAAATCTCGTCAAAACCCTCGAGAACACGGAACGTCTGAGTCTAGCGGTGCCTAGGAACGTTGCGATATTGTTTCCATTAATGTGAGAAACCAGTGTCAGGAGTACGAAACACAACAGTTACGTTCAAAAAACATGTTTTTAGCGTCACATGGACCTTCGGAAGTCTAGAAGCTTGCAAAAACAAATTAATTAGCACGAAAAATCGTGAGAAAAGTATGATGTTTGATAAAATAAAGTAAATTTCGTTAAAATACTATAAAGCTTGACTTAGAATTTTCTAAACTTGATTTTTCAGCGCTCCGGAGGCTATTAAACGTTCACCGAAATCACCCAAGCCCGCTTCATTTTCCTCTTCTCTTCTCTCCACCCACAGATCTCAACCAAACTTCAAAGCACCAAAGTCGCGACCGAATTCCATCATATCCTGTCTCCCTCCCATTCCATCATTCTGCAGTGCAGCAGCCTCCCATTAATGTGTGTATGCGTTGTGTGTCGTTCCATCCACTTCAGCCAAAGTCAGCCTCCCCCTTTAATGAACAAGAAACATTTTGCGCTTTGCTTTTTGTGTGTGCCGGTAATAAAGTGTTGGCCAATGTTAATTGGGATTTTAACGGGACAGGGAAGCAAAGATACAACGAATCCAAAGAGAGAAAGAGAGAGAGAGAGAGAGAGAGAGAGAGAGAGAGAGAAAGAGAGCGCGGGAGAGGGAGTGAGAAACCTGGAGGGAGAGGGTACAAAATCCAAGATGATCTTTCGTACTAGTGAGGGCAAGATTCGGAGCGAGTCCTCTTGAACGTGGTTACGGTATCAAGCATCCTACGGATTTTGCCTTTAGCGTTCCTTTAATGTGAATTTTTCGTTGTTTTTCTTTTTTCCTAATTCCTACGCGAAGCCAAGGGCACTAAACTATACTTCCGCTTTCCCTGAGGGTTTTTGTTATTTTTTGAGCCACGATCAAAAAATTGCAATTATGAAAGCCGAGATTCTCGTCCCGTTCGCCACCAGCTAGAACGTGCTCCTTCCGTGCCGACCATCATCTTCCTTCTCCTCCTCTCTTTCACCCCACATCGGCAATAATGCCCTGGCCGCGGGGGAAATGGCAAAATTGGCAAACAAAAATCCCCTTTGGCTTAGAGCCGGGACGTCAAAGGACTTTCTGTGTAGCTCGCCGCAAGCAACCAAATACCCAATGGGCCGTCAAAAAGTCGAACCGGGCGTTTGGAGGCCGGAGGAGATTTTTCGATTCGTAGTGGACAAGAGTATGTTGGCGAGTAGCTTCACAAGTTTATAATAGCTTTATTAACCAAAATATACATTAAATTCAGTATGCGACCCGTGCAATGAGAAGAATGAGACAGAGAACACGCGCAGCAGGAATTTGAGCAATTTGAATATGTACAACGTCCAAAACCTGATAAAGAAGTGAAAAAATATTTTCAACAAGTGAACTCGAGGAAAGAAAAAAATTAAAATCGAACGTAAGCAACGACTTGAGCAAGAACTCAGAAATTTGGAAAAAAAGAACATCAATAAAACCGTTCCGAATACCTTCGTGGTTGCCCCCGAACGTCTTCATGACTGCTCCACAGGGCTGACTGATTCCGGAGTTCACGCTCCCGGGCTAGTTGCTCGGCGTGTTCCAGGATGGAGACCTAGAAATAGCACAAATCAATTGATCATAAAATCTGACGCTGGCTGCTAATGATCTTTGCTAGCCTGCCAGGAGTCTGACTCAAATCTGCGAGAATAGCTCAGCCTTAAAGGGACTCAAACAGCTTGGAAAGTACCGGTTGCATAGCTGCTAGTCCGACCTAAACATATACTACTAGCTCTGAAAAACCTGGTCATATATAAAGGCAGCTTGACAGCATACCCATTTCTACGTGTCACACTTCCTTTAAAAATCTGGATCGGCTAACTTACCTGTTTATTAACCTTCTTCTTTGCAAACGGAAATGCGATCCCGCTCGTGCTGGTCTTTGATATCTTTGCACGCTTTGGCGCATCCTCTTCATCGGTTGACCCGATCCTCGCGATTGTCTGCAATGCAAAATTTCATGCCGTTTCCTTCCAAATTCCACAAATTTTCCGCTAAAGGACCCGGGGTGACAAATCGTCGTCTAGCCCCCCCCCTCCACCAAACCCCACAATTTCTGAACGGGGATCAAATTCTTTCGATGCGAGAGAAGAGAGCGGAAAGAAACGCACCACAACGGAAAAACCCGAAAAATTGGCGGAAATAATTTTGGTCGGGGCATCGAATTTCAGCGTAGGCGAGCATGAGGAGAAACGATGGAATTCGGGGATGCCAAAATTGGCGGCTCGTCATTGGTTCGGGGAGGGTAATTTGACATTTTCTACCGATGGTAATTCGGAGATTGGCGAATACCGGCCGAAAATCTGGGGTCGGTGGTCTGGATAGGGTAATATATTAGATTGAGCAAGCCAGAGCTAGGAAAAGCCGGTAAACTTTTTGCGATAACTTTCTCTCTCTCTCCCTATCTCTCTCTCTCTCTCTCTCTCTCTCTCTCTCTCTCTCTCTCCCTCTCCCTCTCCCTCTCCCTCTCTCGTTCTCGCGCTCTCTCTCTCGTTTTTTCTTTCTCTCTCCCGATCTTCCTCACCCTGGGTCTCACCAGTCTCACCATCTCTGACCTTACCCCTTAAAATGCCAGGAAGGCTAATCCAAACCTGTTGTATGCTCATCCCCTGCTCCTGAGCACCAACACCCTCTGCTTTTGCCTTGAGGTGGACCCACAACATGGCCATGAACGCTAAACTCTGCAAAGCAGCGATGAGGAGGAAGGTGAAGCCGGGCAACCAGGAAACCTAAAGGTGATTTTAAGGCATTTTACGACTTTGTAATGCTACGGTTGATACTTCGCCGAGCGCTAAACATAAAAACAAGTTTAAAGAACCAGTTGATAAAAAGATCAAACTTGCGTGATTTTTATAGCTCGCCTCGAATCTTTCTCTCTCTCCCTCTCTCTCTCGCTCTCTCTCTGCCTTTCTCCGCTCCTTTCCGGCTCAACCCACCGTCCAGCGATACACATTTGTGTAAAGTGCTGCCGTCAAAATAAACGCCGCATCGGCGCCGATGCCAAACAGGGCAAAAGTGCGACCAATTTCTGAGCCGGCGACGACCTGGAATTAAAAGACTTGGAAGATCAGGCACCAAACAGTCAAATACTGAGCACAAGTATGAGCTCTTCAAATTTCTGAACTGCTCCTTGGCAATGATCAGGTCGACTGAACATTTGATTCCTCGATCTCAAATTTGAGGATAGTATTTTGTTTTGCCTCGTGCTCCTTCACTCCCCAAATTCCGGACCTGAGTCATAAACGAGACGACGGCCGGCTGGACCAATCCGGCGAAACAGCCAACCCCCCGTTCGCCGCATACATCATCCAGTCATTTACGGCTACTCCTGAAATAGCAACATGCCAGGATGGACGCCGTGAAATGTGGAATAATCTGAATTTGATAAATCAGGGTTTACAAGAAGTCTGGGAATATCGGAAAATGGAGGTCGCGCTAAATCAAGCTCTGTCAACCTTTCTCAGCTTTGGATCAGATCTAGCTTTTGCTAAGGTTTTTTTTCTTAAGTTTAAAACGTATAAATCTAGAAGTGTCGAGGAATGGAAAGAAATGAATCATGGCTTGGACTTTGCATTATTTCGGCGTAAATTGGATTTTTGCTAAAAAATGTCAGATCATGATTTCCTGCGTTTCACACCTTGTAAATGTTGAAAATTGCAGAAATTGTCAAGGCTTTCAAACAAAATAGCACCCAAATCCCATAAATTATGACACCAAGGTTGCACTCCTTTAAAAAAAATGATCCCGCAACAACGACCCGACCCAAGGCTTCGTTGATCCCAACTACTTAGGTCATGGAGAATATTTTGAGTTCGAACCTCCTTCGATTTTATTTAGCAACACAAAATTAGTTATTTGATTTTTACCAATTATAATCGTCCTCAGCGTCGACGAAGCAATTCCAATCAGTATCAAAGTTGTCTCCCGGAAGTTCATCCACTTTTTTAAAGACCACCAGTCCGAACAGCGTTCCAAAATCACTAAAAAATATATGAAAAGCGCTTTTTTCAAGAAATCCAATGTTTTGCAAACTCCAAACTTAATCAACTTACACATCAAATACCCGGTCCCGTTCCAATAGCCCAAATCTTCGGTATTCCAGCCCAACGCTGTTGTTTCGGTGCGTCGGAATACGTAATTGTTGATGACGGAGCCGATGCCGGCTGAAAAAACGGTAATTGAATTTTTTAAATGTGTCTGGTTCCGGAAGCACAAAAGTTTGAGAAAACCAAGAAAATGCCGAAAACTGACTGGTTCTTGTCTCGACTTGGGTGGTATAGGTGAGCATCAGCACGATGACGGTGATGAACATGAAGGCTCGGCGATGGCCAACTCGTTTTCGTCTGTACGTGTGTAGACAATCCTGGAAAGGAAAAATGGTTTTTGCTAGCCTGCCCCTTCCAAATCATAAAGTTTCTTTGTTTTCGTTAAATGGTCTATCTCTCTTTTTATCTCTCTCTCTCACGCTCTCGCTGTCTCGCTCAATCTCTAGCTCTCTCTTTCTCTCGCTCTTTTTCTCTCTCGCTCTTTCTCTAGATCTCTCGCCCTCTCTCTCTTGGCCCTCTCTCTCCCTCTCTCTCTCTCTCCCTCTCACCTTGTACAACATGACGACATCCCCCACAAATCCTTTCACCTTCTTCACGCTGGATTGTGACGTGATGGTGGTCACTAAAACGTTCAGACGTGGATCCGGTTGGTTCCTGGTTTTTTCGTCATTTTGGCTGGCGAGCTCATTTCGATCATCCGCTTCCATTTTGCCGGGGGAAACAATTAAGGGCATCAGTGGTGGGCCCCGGCGCCAGAAGACCGGGTTAATGAAACTTTTTCTGCAGGAGGTTTTCAAGAGCGGAATCTTAGCACGGAAGGCACGAAAAATCAAAGTATAGTTTTTGCGAGTTTTGCTAGCGCAGTTAGAATTACGAGTGTTTTCTAGTTTTCGTGGGGTTCAGAAAATTTAGCACACGCCAGGGTGGCAGATAGAAAACAACAGAGGAAAAAAGAGAGAGAGAGAGAGAGAACGTGAGACAGCGTTAGCTACGTAAAGCTACTGAGAATCCCATAACGTACCTCGATTCCTGCGCTCCAACTCCTGCAACCCTGGATTTTGCGGAATCCGAAATAGCGTAGAGAAAAATCCCAAAGCGATAAATGCCAGTTCGATATCGATCGCTGTGGAGATTCCGATCTAGAAAATGTGTTTTCTTGGTATCACTGTGTTTTGAAGCCTCTGCAAAGTTCCGTAAAAGTAGCCAAACATAACATGCACTACTAGTGAAAGGACATACCATGAGTATTGTATTTTAAGTGTTTGTGAGAACTCTACTTACCTGATCATGTATCAACCCTGCCAGTAAACCTCCCATCACTGGGGCTGTAGTCACGGAGTACAGAGAATAAACCAGAGCGGATGGTTAGTTCGGTTGGGTCTTAGGAGATGTCGGCCAGGTAGGAGTAGCAGGATACTGGGATCTAAAAAAGAAAAATTTTCGAACGGTAAAAAAGCTGACCGTCTGACTCCCTTTAAAGGCCGTAGACAGTCATGAATTCCCAAGTTCTTTGAATGTTACGAGAAAAATATTCAAAACAGGTTTTTCAGCTTTTAAGTTGAAAGTTTTGCCATGCACGAACGATCATTTAAAATATCGTGTCCCTACCATTGCTACATATCCCCGTAAATCCGGCAAAGATTCCGATCAACGTGGTTGTCCAGTAGAGATTGTTGCCGCCGAATTCGATAGCGTAAGCATATAGCCATATTCGGTGACGAAAAGACCTGAGATACCCAACAAAATGTTGATCTGACGGCCATGCCGATCCCAATTATTTTATGAATTTGATAAATCAACTTTTTTTTAAAGATTTAAGATATAAATAAACCATTTTAAAGGGATACTGCACGCACGAAAAATCTGTGTTTTCCACTTACCTAATAAAGTATCCGCAAAAATGGCCGGAACTAAATAGGACAACGAGTTATACAAACTCCATTCGGCGGAATGTTGCTGGACGTTGTCTTCGATCGTGTGATTACTAAATATTTTCTAGATTCAGACAGCAAATTTTAAAAATAATTTTTTAAATTTTTAAAACTGCCAAGATATATAGCCTTATTTAAAAAAACATGCTCCAAATCCCAACAATCAACCGCTGGGTCATCACCATAGTAAATTTGGCAGATCCTGAAATGTTAAAATGTTTGTAGCGCAGAAACGATGTCCTTACCTTCGATAAATTTGAGGTGATTGCACCGTGTTCCCAAAACATATCCAAAATACACAAGTACAATGATTGGCTCGACGCTCAGGCGCATCGAAAAATAGCCCTACGTCGATGCAAAATGATTTCAATTTTCCGCGCTTCATCTAAAG